TATTACAAATTCGTACTAAAATGTTAAATTATTATTTGTCGGGCTAATTTATTAAATTTTATTTATATAAAAAAATATTAAAATAAAATTATTTAATGAATTAATTATAATTTTTAATCAGTAAATTTATATTGATGATTTCATTATTAAAAATATAAGATTTATTTAGAAAATTAAGCTTGTAAAATCGAGTATTATGCGCCAATTAATAACGAAAGAAATGCGTTATTAATGGGATTTTTTTTATAGAAAAACTAAACAGAAAGGCGAATTTTTCTCATGTAAAATCTCAGAATAATCCGATTTTTCATTCTTTTCTAACATCATTATTTCAAATAGAATAATAATAACAATAATAATCGATCAACTCGATAGCATTTATATTCGAATTTCTATTAAAATTTAAATATCAGACGAAAGAAATTCAAATTTATTCTGATAATAACATCAGGTGTCTTGATGCATTCTTAATTCAAAAATCTGTATTAAATCAAGTCTATTAATTTATAAAATATTAAGAGATTTATAAAGCATAATTCTATATTTTTATTTAATACTTTAACGTATTTCCTGCCTCGAGGAGAACTGAATTTTAATGCGATAAACAAGCATCAGATATGAATTTAAAGTCAAATTTTTACCCCAAATATCAATTATTATAAAAATATTTAAATCATTAAAATAAATAAATTTAACTTAATTAACTTTAAAATAAATATATTTTGCTCATTAAAAAGCACTTTTATTTATCATTAATACTATCATTTCAAAACAATTTTTAGTGATAACGAAGATAAAAAAGAAGCTGAGATGATAACATATTGTAGATTATAAAAACTATAAATGCTAATTAGTTTTCCTTTAATTTATCTAATTATTATTATAATTTCTTCACTTAATTTAATCGGTTAGGAACAGAAGAAGCGGAGAAGCGACTCCAGAGAGAAATGTCTTCCTGAATAAAAATATCCCAATCACCGCTCCACTCAGTGATAATGGTAAAACGGACGGATATTCCCATGCAGAATCACCTTTTTCTGATATTTTTAGCGATTCTGTCGATTCCGAATCAGAAAGGTAAATTCTTTTTCGGTCAATAAACCTTTTATATTGCATCGTTTCCCATTTATCGCGAGTATACTTTATTTATTTATTTTCTATCGATGATGCTGGAGGATGCTCCTGATGCTCCCGATGCTTAAGTATCAGTAAAAAAAAGGAAATGTGAATAATCAAGTTATTTGCTATAAATCTTATCAATAATCTTATATTATTTACGAACTTGAAAAGCAATTTATTCTCTTATTATTCTACTAGTTGTGCATTCACCTTTCCTTCATAGAATCATTATAATGCTTCTCTATAAACTCTGTATTTTGAAATTCTTTAAAATGTTACATTTGAAAAATCAAAGTGTAGTTCTTTTCACGTTTTTTTGTAAATAAAATTGCACTTCAAACAATTTTATTTTCTTTACAGAAGCGAAAATTCTCGAATTATTCTCTCTACTTTTTATTTATTCTATTGTTTTTATAAGCTATAAATTCTAACATTATCTCTGAAAACATCGCGCGATTGTTTATATAAATCATTAAATTAATTTAATAGTCTTTTCTTCTTTAAGTTTTAACAATTATACTTTAAATAATAATAATAATAGAATAGAATATTATATTAGAAAAATCGTATAAAAATAGATGATGAACGATCTTCCGCAATCTATCACATGTTATAAATTTATATAGAACTGGGAGGAGAAAGGCATACGTCAATCTACTTTTATTTCAAGAAAATAGACAAATAAAGTGATATTTCCGCCTACTTTTACTTCAGATGTAGACGTAATGATATGTAGCACCACCCACTTTTACTTCTTCAACCAATAACGATCAAAATTAATAGATTTCCAGCTAAAACGTCATTGAAAATTTTTAATGCTTATTATCTGCTATATTTAACGAAAGACCACTTATATATAAAATAATAATTTTTTTTTCTTTCTTTCGTGTTTTAACAGCGATCTAGAAGAGAGAAGAGAAAACACTACTGTTTTATGTTATCTTCCACCATTTGATGGTAAAATATATTATTTATTTTAAACTACATCTTCATTTAATTAAATTTTATAAGAAATTTCAAACTTTTTTTTCATATAAAACAGGGCATTATCCTCCTCTTCCCGGTGTTCACGACTGGGATAAACCCGAATCTTTAACTGCTATGCAAGACGAAATTGAAAAATGGTAAGATGGAGTTAAGAAAATAATCATCTTTCTTATTAAATTTAAACGCATTTTAAAGCAATTATACTGTTAAATTTTCTAATATTTTATATATATATATTTTTTTTTTTTATTTATAAAAAAAAATTTTAAAATATATATAAAATTTTTTTTTTTTTTTTTTGGTGAGGGTTCGTCTGACGAATCTAATGGCATATAAATTTTTAGTCTGTGACTGTAACTTTTGGACATATCGCGGTTTATAACATCACAATCTGATAATTGTGGGTATACATCATTTTTCAATAGCAAAATTTTTAAAAACGTCTTGTGTGAAAAATTTTTTATATATATATATTTTTTTTTTTTATTGTTGTAGTAGAATTAATGTATCTAACATTGTTTCTGACCTACAAACAGGTTTTATGAATGCGAACAGTCACGAATACGAAGGCCTTTTTTNTGAAAATTTTTAATGCTTATTATCTGCTATATTTAACGAAAGACCACTTATATATAAAATAATAATTTTTTTTTTCTTTCTTTCGTGTTAACAGCGATCTAGAAGAGAAAAGAGAAAACACTACTGTTTTATGTTATCTTCCACCATTTGATGGTAAAATATATTATTTATTTTAAACTACATCTTCATTTAATTAAATTTTATAAGAAATTTCAAACTTTTTTTTCATATAAAACAGGGCATTATCCTCCTCTTCCCGGTGTTCACGACTGGGATAAACCCGAATCTTTAACTGCTATGCAAGACGAAATTGAAAAATGGTAAGATGGAGTTAAGAAAATAATCATCTTTCTTATTAAATTTAAACGCATTTTAAAGCAATTATACTGTTAAATTTTCTAATATTTTATATATATATATTAAAGGAGACAGAAGAGTTTAGAGTCTTATCAGGCCCAATTTACGTGTTTAACTCGATTGCAAAGGGAAGTGTTTAGACTCCATAATTTGGTAATTATTGTCAAAATAATTATAGAAAAAAATAAATAAATAAAATAATAATTAATTATTCTTAAATTTTAAATACTTTTCTTACAGTTAAGAAGACAAGAAGCGACTATTACTTTTCTGAAAAAAGAGAATTATATATTACAAGCAAGATTATCAAGAGGTGAATTTTTTAAGGCAGAATTCTTTCTTAATAATTCATTTTAAACTTGAATTTAATTATAGATTTTCTAATTAAAAGTATTTATTAAGTAGGATAAACCTATATTTTCCTATGACACACATAAAATTGTCATTTCGATATCTCTGTGCTCAGTTGATTGCAGGAGAAAATTGTTAACGAAAACTATATTCTTATCAGGATAATTCAGTTGGCTTTAATGAGCTTTGATAATGCTAACTAGAAATCATTTATTATAATATATAACACTTCATAATAACCAGTATTAAATTTCTGTAATGAAGGAAGAGAATATTGTAATTTTATAATGAAAAATTTTAATTATTATGTATTAAACACAAACCATTAATTTTTAATTAAGCTATAAGTTAGGACTTCGAGTCACGACAGGCCTCACTCCATTCTAAAAACAAATACATTGTTTATTATTTTATTTGATAATTAAGAAGAGGGCCTTTATATATATATATGTTATTATAGAAGTATAAATTAGGCCCTAATTAAATAATCCTATTTATCAGTTTAGACAAGAAAATTATTTTTTAAAAAATTCTTATAAATATAAATCGATATTAATGATTTAAATAATAGTTTTAAATAATTTATAAACTTGTTTACTCATTAATTTGTCAGAAGATCGATTTTCGAATTTGTTTAAATAGTTTTTAAACAAAAATGATCGATGATTGGTCGAAAATAGCTTTGCTAAATAAACTAACCAATCGGCGTTAAGATAATATTACCGTCAACCAATCCGGATTAAAATTATTCTCTTTTAGACTTTCACTTACATATTTCGCAGAGGACCGTCTATATGCAGAGATATTCGATTTTCCTGCATTAATGATGATTTTTCTAGAGGATTAGAAACATTCCTTAGATCTGTAGCATCTAGGAGAAAGGAATCAAGAATCGCTCAAGAAACGTATTGTCTGTTGCCTTCTCACGTAGGAATCGAACATAAATTAATTGCTTCAGCTACTTTCCATAAAAATTATAAGTAAGATATCTTCCCTATTAACTATTTACATATGTATATAATTAATTTCTACAAAATTTCTGAAGGATTCCAGGAGTTAAAGTCGTTCATTTATCATTGTTGACCGTCCGAAAGCGTTATAGAAAGTGTGGTATAGGGAAGTATTTTCTTAAGGTAAAAATACATTCATTGTGGTGATAATATAAAATATATATTGCTCTATAAATTAATATTAATTATATGCAATTTATACTTTTATAGAGATTGAAAAATCCATCTCAGGTTGGACCATACGATGCTTTAGTAGTTCATGCAAAAAATTCTTCACAGAATTTCTTCAGAAAGAATGGTTTCACGGACGATGTCATACTGTGTAGTAGATTTGGGTAATAATAATAATAATAATAGAATAGAATATTATATTAGAAAAATCGTATAAAAATAGATGATGAACGATCTTCCGCAATCTATCACATGTTATAAATTTATATAGAACTGGGAGGAGAAAGGCATACGTCAATCTACTTTTATTTCAAGAAAATAGACAAATAAAGTGATATTTCCGCCTACTTTTACTTCAGATGTAGACGTAATGATATGTAGCACCACCCACTTTTACTTCTTCAACCAATAACGATCAAAATTAATAGATTTCCAGCTTAAACGTCATTGAAAATTTTTAATGCTTATTATCTGCTATATTTAACGAAAGACCACTTATATATAAAATAATAATTTTTTTTTCTTTCTTTCGTGTTTTAACAGCGATCTAGAAGAGAGAAGAGAAAACACTACTGTTTTATGTTATCTTCCACCATTTGATGGTAAAATATATTATTTATTTTAAACTACATCTTCATTTAATTAAATTTTATAAGAAATTTCAAACTTTTTTTTCATATAAAACAGGGCATTATCCTCCTCTTCCCGGTGTTCACGACTGGGATAAACCCGAATCTTTAACTGCTATGCAAGACGAAATTGAAAAATGGTAAGATGGAGTTAAGAAAATAATCATCTTTCTTATTAAATTTAAACGCATTTTAAAGCAATTATACTGTTAAATTTTCTAATATTTTATATATATATATTAAAGGAGACAGAAGAGTTTAGAGTCTTATCAGGCCCAATTTACGTGTTTAACTCGATTGCAAAGGGAAGTGTTTAGACTCCATAATTTGGTAATTATTGTCAAAATAATTATAGAAAAAAATAAATAAATAAAATAATAATTAATTATTCTTAAATTTTAAATACTTTTCTTACAGTTAAGAAGACAAGAAGCGACTATTACTTTTCTGAAAAAAGAGAATTATATATTACAAGCAAGATTATCAAGAGGTGAATTTTTTAAGGCAGAATTCTTTCTTAATAATTTTAAACTTGAATTTAATTATAGATTTTCTAATTAAAAGTATTTATTAAGTAGGATAAACCTATATTTTCCTATGACACACATAAAATTGTCATTTCGATATCTCTGTGCTCAGTTGATTGCAGGAGAAAATTGTTAACGAAAACTATATTCTTATCAGGATAATTCAGTTGGCTTTAATGAGCTTTGATAATGCTAACTAGAAATCATTTATTATAATATATAACACTTCATAATAACCAGTATTAAATTTCTGTAATGAAGGAAGAGAATATTGTAATTTTATAATGAAAAATTTTAATTATTATGTATTAAACACAAACCATTAATTTTTAATTAAGCTATAAGTTAGGACTTCGAGTCACGACAGGCCTCACTCCATTCTAAAAACAAATACATTGTTTATTATTTTATTTGATAATTAAGAAGAGGGCCTTTATATATATATATGTTATTATAGAAGTATAAATTAGGCCCTAATTAAATAATCCTATTTATCAGTTTAGACAAGAAAATTATTTTTTAAAAAATTCTTATAAATATAAATCGATATTAATGATTTAAATAATAGTTTTAAATAATTTATAAACTTGTTTACTCATTAATTTGTCAGAAGATCGATTTTCGAATTTGTTTAAATAGTTTTTAAACAAAAATGATCGATGATTGGTCGAAAATAGCTTTGCTAAATAAACTAACCAATCGGCGTTAAGATAATATTACCGTCAACCAATCCGGATTAAAATTATTCTCTTTTAGACTTTCACTTACATATTTCGCAGAGGACCGTCTATATGCAGAGATATTCGATTTTCCTGCATTAATTAATGCCTCATCCTATATTTTTAGAATCAATATTCTTATATACATTATTTAACTTTTGATACGATATAATTTTTGAATATTTAAATATTTATTTCTGGATATATATAAAATTATAAAAACTACAATTAATACAAACACATTTACATATAACTTATGAAGATGTTCTGAAATTATATACAAGAAAATTTAAAATGCATTATTATTTTTAATTAATTTATAATTTTTCTTTAATTACGTTAAGTACAAAGTAAATCCATTAGAAGTTTTCATTGTTTTAATGTAAATTTAAATTGATTGTATACGAAGAATAATTTGCGTCGAGTGAATTATAATTAGTATACTTCATTTGAAATTACTTTAAAGTAGTGTAAATTACTTCTTGAATAACCATAATGCCTGAAAGATTTCAAAGAGATCTTAAACAAATTACAACTGTCTTTGACTTGTCTTTTAAATCTTACTCGAAACAACTTTCTATAGAAAACTGAAGAATAGAAATTGGTATTTTTTCCCCTTCTATTTTCGAACAGATTTACTGATGTAACTCTGATATTTTTTTTCGTATTATTGAATGGTTCCAGTTCTGTCTCTTGAGAAACCGAAAATTCTCTTGAGAGAAAGGAATCTCAGATAGTAAAGATAAATACCAATCCGTGTCCCTTCAAGTAATATCGACTTTGTCAAGTTTACTTTTTCTATCAATAGTTACTGAAGACTTTAAACAATGATTCGTTTAGTTACATTCCACAATGTAGTTGAGATAAGCCTATATAAGGGTCACCTCACCTCAACTACATTGCGCCTTATCCATCATGTTATCCTATCTAAGTTAATGAGTTTATCGTGTGATTTGTGTTTAATCAAACAAACTAATTTCGTTAGAAAGAAAGATAAATTACAATTTATGTAATTCAGAACTCCCTCATCATCAATTTTATATAATGATGCTGATTATGAGCATCTCTTCTCTTCGTTATCTTTTATTAAACTCATTATTTCTTGCTTATTAAAATTGTATAAGTTATTATCTGTAAAGTATTTCTTTTTTATTTTAAAAAAACAATTTTTATTGTTAATTTCGTAAAAATCTTATTACTTTTTTTCCTTTTTTATCTGTGTTATTTATAAAAGCACGCGATATACTCTTTAATATTATATAGAAGAGTTTGTAGAATGCAACATGGTGACTACTAATGAGTAGAATTGATACAGATAAAAAAGCATTCTTTTCATTAGTGATAGTGCTTTCTAAGTAGATATCATTAACGTTCAATCTTCTTTGATTAAACCATAAGTTTTTCTTGAAAGTTTTTTTTTCATTCTCTTTGAAAAAATAGAAGAAAAAATTGTTAAAACGTGTCGGCATTAATACCTCTTCTCTATTAAAATTGCGGTCAGTTTTTTAAGTAAATATTTCCACAACTTTTTTACAATTTACATTTTAAAAAAATACAATTTTTCCCCTAAAAATTGACCTGATTTCCGTAGGGAAAAAAAATCCAATATTTTAAAATATATGCTCTCCACCTCAAATTAGTATTAGCTTGCCCCTGTAAATCATACTTTTCCTTTAACAAAAGTGTCTTGCCAGTCGCCTATCTAACTCCTTTCAAGGGACATTTTTTGAATTGAAATAACGTAACTTCCGGTGCAAACCGGAAGTTACGTATAGTTAATCGAGGTCTCTTGCCCAAAGCTTTCTGCTTGTATATCTGGTCTCGACTTTCATCTATCTAACTCCTTACTCAATATTAAGGAAATACAATGGGAATTTATAGGTCTACAATGTTTTCAAATTGAACCCGAAATACATATAATCACAGATGTCACAGTATGGTGTATAATAAGTAATTTATTACGTAGTCTGCACACTAAAGAAGCACATACACTCTTTAAGCATTATAAACATTAAATATAATTTTAATTAATTAAATTTTTTTTTATTTCAGTGGAACGAAAATCAGCCCAAACTCTGATAGAAGCATTAGAGAAAGAAGCGGCGGATTTTGAACGTCTCTGCACTCTAAAATTAGAAAATTTGGAAACAACTTGATAACCATCGACATCACTTCAAAAATTAAAAAAAGAAAGAAAAAAAATACCAAAAAATAAATTAATGTGCATCCTCTTTCTTGATTGAATTTGGCGAATCGATCGGCCGGAAATAAAATAAAAAACTGGAAGAATTGTTTGTCAAATACTTCTGCCTTTTTTGGGGGGGAAAGATTCTCCAATTCTAAATACGAAAAATCAAATTTAAACGATCACGTGACCGATTTAGGTCTCTGTATTACGTAGTCTGTGTGTGTGACGTTATCATTCTTTTGAAAAACGTCATCAATTTAAATTGTATTTTAAAACTTTTTAAATATATATTTTTGTTTAGTTCGGTAATATTATTAATTTTCTTAATAATTTTTTATGTTATAAATTTTAATTGTTTTTGTTACGCACATTTCTTTGGTGTGTACTTTAATGTACAATGCCATATTTATGAACAAAAAAAAATAACATGTAAATTTAAAAAATATATATGTATATATAAATATAAA